ATAAATTAGAGTTTTAATATTAAATTATATCATTTTATTTAATTAAAACTTAATTCAAAATTTAAAATTTTATTTTATTAATTATTAATATTTATATTTAAAAACTGATCATTATATTAAAATATATAATTAATTTCTAAATCTATATATAAATATTTAATTGAGTGAAATTTTAATTTTTAATTATAAATTAAGACTTTAATTTTTTTTAGAATCAAAACTTATGTATATTAATTTTATAAAAAAATATTATTTAAAATTATACATAAAAAATTAAATAACTTATATTTTATATTTTAAAATAGAGGGGGTAAGAAATACCTAATTTTTGCATTTGTGATTTTGATAGCAAAAATTTATTGTAAACATTACTCTTTAATTGTTAATTAAAAATAAAAAAAATCCTGCTCCCGACGACTTAGTGACCCAATAATTTAATGTAAGTTTTATTCACAATGACAAGAATTCGACTTTTCAAACCACTTACTTTAATAAAAAAAATTATTAATTAAAAATAAATATAAAGTAAAGAAAAATTGTCAAAACTGGAAATGCCCATCCCTATCACGATTTCTTGCGAGAGACGTTCACAATGGTGGCCACGTGTCGTTACGTGATGGCGTGACGCGCAAATTTGGACTTTGGCACAGTTTTGACCATCGTATAATCCAATCAATGACGTGGACTTTGTATCACATCCACCAATAGCAGGGGCTCGTGAGTCAATAGCTCCGTATCTGTAGCGTTCCCCGTCACAGTGATTGGATTACGCCGTTTAACTATACACGTAATTGATAGAAAAAAAAAAAAAAACCGACACGCTACGCACGGAATTTAATGTTAGTTTCCGATATTGCCCCTGGAACGCATCGGTGCCGAAAACAATGGCCTTTGTTGTCTTTAGCAATGATGACTTTCTTCACTTTGAGATGAAGGTTCTTTAAGCACCCAAAAAAGAAAAAAAAAAAAGAGGTACTCCATTTAGGTTCGTCTCCCTGAGTTTCCGGCTAATTAGCCGACAACAAAACTCCCTGGAGTTGACAAATAATATTGGATGGAACTAATTTAAATTTAAGATTTTTTAATTTATATTTTTAAAAATATAATTAGTATTTTTATAATTAATTATAAAAAATATATTTATTATATTTTTAATATATGTTCTAAAATTTATGTTAAATAAATTCTTAATTCTATAATTTCTTTTTTTTTTTTTTTGTATGTAGCAAATGGTTCGAGTGGAGAAGGAGATGCGGAAGAGAAACATAAATTTGAATTCTTGTCCTTGGGGTGTAGAAATTTTTTATACTAATGATAAAATCATTTCAATCATCAAGACTTTATATTTATAAGAAGTATCTTTGATATAAGTTAATAATGTAATGAATATATTTTTTTATCATAAATTTATATTAAAAAAATAAAAATTAATACTTAATTTAATTTACTAATTGTCTAATTAAATTATTTATATAGTAATAATACTAAAATTAATATTAATTTTTATATTTACAAATTCATGAAAAAAAAATACTTTTAACATGTGTTTTAAGTTAAAAAAAAAAAAAACTTTCTTTATTTATCCATCATTTCTTCAATGATAATTTCAATGAGACACAGGCATATAATTTTACAATGCTTTGATATTATATATCCTCACATTAAAAAAAAAAAGAAAAAAGAGTGGATGCATTGACACTTTTTTTCTTACACATAAGTATCTAAGGCTCAAAGGCTCAAATTATTTGAGACAATATATAAATAAAAATATTAATTTTGTATTTTTTTATTTAAAAATGTTAATTTTATTAGTTTTTAAATAAAGATATTATTTTTAATTTTTTTATTTAAAAATTAATTGAATGATAATATTAATGTGAGAAATAGATTTTTTAATCAAAATATTGAAAGTTTATGTCCTTAAATAAAAAAATTAAAAATTAATATTTTTAAATAAAAAAATTAAAAACTGATATTTTTATTTAAAAATTTACAAAATTAACATTTGTAAATAAAAAAATAAAATTTACATTCTTATTTACACTTATTCTCCGAATTATTTTGTGGACACTTAGAATTAATTTGTCTATAAGTATTTGAAAACTATTTGTTCATGTCTACTACACCAGGCTCTACCTTCAAGATAGGAAATTTAACTTATTGAATACAACTTCACCTTCAATTTAGCTCTCATCACCTTTTATTACTCAAATCAACCTTAACGAACTAATTCACACTTAAAAAATTATCATAAACAAAAAAGTATTTTATATGATAGATTATATATAAAAAATACAATTTATTCTATAAATTTATTTATATACCCTTACTAAAATTATTTCTTATACCATTACATTAAAAATAATTAATAAATTTATAAGATAAATTATATTTTTAATATACAATCCACTTTAAAAAATTTAAATCTCATCACAAATTATAGTATAATCTCATTTGATGTGAGCATATTCGGTTAGGAAAAGATCTGTTAATTCAGCTAAATGTCCATAATACCCTTTCCGTTAGGAAAATCCCAGGACTGAAAATATCTATCAATAAGGAGGGTATACAAGTCATTCGACAGCTAGAGGACTAACTTGACAAGAAGGGGATGCTCTGAGCTGCTTCTCAAATGAAAAATCCTTCCTTCACCTAGACCTTCTTCGCCTTTACCGCATTCCAAAACCTCATAAACCCTCAAATTCCTGAGTTTCTGCATTAGCAAACCCATGGCGAAGGAGTCTCCGGACGACTTCAGGTGCCCGATATCGCACGAGATAATGTCTGACCCAGTAATCCTTTCATCGGGTCACACCTTTGACCGTGCTTCAATCCAGCGGTGGCTGGACTCCGGCCACCGCACCTGTCCAATTACCAAGCTGCCTCTCCCTGAACATCCGTCTCTCATCCCCAACCATGCGTTAAGGTCCCTAATTTCCAACTATACCAACATTTCTCTTCCAAAATCGCAATCGTCCTGTTCTGACCCCCAAGCCCTCATATCGGCTTTAACTTCTAAATCTTCCCCAATTGAGTCAAAGTTGGAATCTTTGAGCCAGCTGGGTAGACTCACCAAGCGGGACTCGGCTCTTCGTCGTAGACTCACCGAGGCGGGGGCTGTACCTGCGGTTCTGCGTTGTGTTGACTCGGATGATCCGGGTTTGGAAGAGAAGGCGCTTTCTTTGCTTCTTAATCTGAGCCTTGATGATGATAACAAGGTGGGTTTGGTCGCGGAAGGCGCAGTTAATCGAGTCGTGAAGGTTTTGCGGGTGGGTTCGCCTGACTGCAGGGCTATAGCAGCTACGATGATAACGAGCTTGGCTGTTGTTGAAGTAAACAAGGCCATAATTGGAGCATACCCAGATGCTATTCCAGCGTTGGTTTCACTTCTCATTGAAGGAAAAGGCAGAGAGAAGAAAGAGGCTGCAACTGCCCTTTATGCGATATCTTCTTTTGCTGATAATAGACGAAGAGCAATAGACTGTGGAGCTGTGCCTATATTAATGGAGTTATTGGATTCAGGGCTTGAAAGGGCCATTGAAGTGTTAGGGATTCTAGTGAAGTGCAAGGAGGGGAGAGAAGAGATGGAGAAGGTTGATGGTTGTGTCAAAGTTTTGGTTTTGGTGTTGAGGAATGGAAGTGCCAGAGGGGTGCAGTATGCTTTGTTTACATTGAACTGCTTGTGTTGTTATAGTGAGGAAATTTGTTCAGAAGTGAGAAGAGATGGGGTTATGGAGATTTGTTTTGGGTTACTGGAGGATGATAATGATAAGATTAGGAGGAATGCTTCCACTTTGGTTCAGACTCTGCGGGGGAATCGGGCTATAAGGTAATCGTTTCGGCGTTGGCAATGGAGGTGAGTTGGTTTTGTTTAGGTTCCTTTTCTTAATGGCTTGTGAGAAAATGGATAGTTAGTGTACAAAAGGAGAAGGATTAGATTTTGTATCTTGTACATTTGAATAAAAGGAAAAGGAATGGGGGTTGGCAGTGCTCCCTGGTTTTTAGATGTATTACTGGGATAAATAGTTTCAAATTAGTTACCAAAATTGTAATCTCGTTTCAATTAAAAAATTTCTTTTACTTGAGGCATGTTGATCTCCATTCTTTACACCCACCCTGAACTTTTTCTTTTAGAACTTGTAGTCTTTCAATAGTCTAATGAATAGCCTTCCTAAAAGCAGTTCTAAAGGAAAGAAGAAATATATGTAATTGAAATCAGTTTGAGTCGTTATGAGTAGTTTTCCTTTTTTTTTTCTTAAAAAAAAATTGAAGTTTATAATCTGGTTTCAAGACTTAAGTTTGGTTGTTTTGTTCTTTAATTGTTTGTTGTCATGCTTGAGATAGAACTTGTGTCTCATCATCTTGGCATTGACTGTACAATTGCGAGTTGGAACTTACTGAATTGCAAGCCATATGAAACTTTATCTTGATCTATAAATCATTTTGTTTCTTGCTGAACTCTCTGAATTCGTAACTGAAACTGATGCTAGTTCTTACCAGCATGCTTCCAATTTAGAGATAAGATGCTTTAGTCTAATAATTTTTGTCTGAATATAAGTGATCTTTGAAACATTAATCATTTCAGCAATGAGTATGTCTGGACTTGAGTTGTGATTTTTGGTGGTGCTGTTTGCATGGGTTCCAGGTTTTCCATCCTGACAAAAAAAAGAAGGGATATGTGAAATTAGAACTTTTCTATGTTTGCCTTGGATTATTAAAATTTTGTCTGTTAATTTGATTCAAGTAGACTGCTTTTGTTGGAACATGTAAAAGGGGTATTGAGTTGAAGAACAGTTATTATATGTGAGAAGTTGGTGTTTACAATTATTCATGTTAGAAACACACCACAAAGAGCTTGAGGGCTAACATTTCCAACTTGGTTTAGGGTATTGTGTGTTTGCCAAGGGGCTAATTTTCTCTGTAAACTGTATATTCTCTGGTTAGGGAGGGCTTATTCCCTGAGTTTGTAGCCTTGTGGTTTAAAAATTGACCTCAAACAAGAGTGGGTGGATTTTGAGATTGTCCTGAAACTTCAAGTGTGCCATCTGGAATTCATTCAATTGATATAGTTTATCAGTGGAAGTTGCTGTATGATTACACGAATAGACATGCATGATAGTCTGGTAAGTGATATGTATGCTTTAGATTGAACCATCTTGATCCTTTTTTTTTTCTTTTTTTTTTTTTCTATCCTTCCCTTATTCTTATTTTTAAACTGTATGCATTTACATTGGAATGAAAAAATGGTTACTTTGATGAGTTTCACTCTGCTTTTTTTTTAATTTGCAAAACTTGCTCTCTTAAGATCATTTGAAATTCCATTTACATTTCTAGATTCAGCATGATGTGCATTGCTTATTTTTCGTTCGCTTAGATACACCTTTGCCATACGTGTATAGTTATATGATAATTGGTAGTGTTGGTTTCAAACACTCTATATTTGGACAGGCAATGTTTGTTGGTACTTGTAGGTTGTCTATGAATTGATTATTCTAATAAAAACATCACAGCTTGTTAAATCTGTGTAGATTAATTAGACATGACTGCATGAGCTTATTTTTGATAATACTGCCGACCAACCCTTAGCACTAACATTTTTTTCGTTTTTGGCCGACTTAGCACTAACATGATTAGTTTCAAATCTGTGTCTGATTTTTGTGGACAGGCATGCTTGTTCCTGTATTTTTTGCACGTGTATGTTTGGGTTTTGGTAGGTAGGACTGACCCTGTTTGAGCCCTAAACCAAGGAGAATGTGCTAAAATCGCGTGTGTGGAAAGGGCATCAAATGGGTGGTGTGAAAGTGAAACATCTATTCAATTAAGCGAGGTGTGTGCTTTTACTTTATATATCTATATTTTGAAAATCATGAAAGGGGAGGCTTTTATGGTGGTCCTGGAGTGGTCTGTTGCATTCTTTTTAGTCTTTAATCCTATTGATCCTTCCTGGGACAAAGACATCAACCAATGCAAAGAATTACATTGCTCAAGATTCAAGAAAGGAACATCTCGGGCTCAAAATTTTCCAATGAGAAGGGAACTCCATCTACTCATTACTGCCTCCTGAGGAGGCAGCATTGTGTGATGAGTAATTCTGGGATGCTTTTCTGCATCTGACGTGCTTGAGGACTGGCCATGCTCTTCATCTTTCTGTATGCAGATCAAACATCTATGTATCAGAACCAGACCCAACAGGCCAAGGCAGCTTCTTCTTTGGGCTGAGGCAAATCCTAGATTTAAGTCTTTATCTTTAGGCCCATGTTATGGTTACTGCCAATTTCCAAACAAAAAAAATTGAGGAAACAAATCAGTTGGATGAGGGAACCGGGGTCCATTAGGTCAACAAAAAGTTGTGGATTTCTATATCAATCCCCATCCCATGGCCCAACAATTATTTTTCGTTTTTAATAAAGTGCTCATCTTCCCTTAAAATGTATACAAAAGAGAAGAAAATGGCAATAATAAAGGACCCAATTTATGCAATATTTAGTGGTAAACAGAGGAAATAAAGGTTCCATAATGCTATCACCTCAGAGGACCAATATAACCACCATAAAAAGGACACTTAGGAGCAAATGATTGTGGGGGAGAAGTTTTGGGTTTTGGAGGAAACAACAAAATCATGAAAAGGGAAGATCTGAGAAGACATTTGGTCTCTCCATCTTAGCATTAGCAAGCAATGCTCTCTTTGGATACGGAAATGACAGAATTTGGAGGGGAAGGGGCCATGCTCTAGAACCTCTCCACCTTTTAATTCTCAGTGCAAGGATAACAGAACTACTCCCAAGTTGTTGATGGGTTACCAAATATTATAAAGAAAGGTACGAGATTGAGTAATCTAATTACAAATGCAAATTTATTGTGGATATGGGACTGGCTTGCAGTACCAAAAAATGAATTTCATGGTAAAGAAGCAGGTGGGAAAAGGGACAGAGACATTATGATTGACTTTCTCCCACTCTGATTATTATAATTTAGTGTACATTTAATGGTTTGTTGTCATGTGACATTTCTTTTTCTTTTTAGCCCATATATAAACATTGTAATTAAAAAAAAATGTGTTACCTATCAATATATTTTCATTTATTTCAAAATGATTTGACCTCAACCTCAAGTTTGTAGGTGGTTGGTTTCCTACCGACAATCTGACCTGAATTATTTCATACATCCGCACAAAGAGTGCAAGCAAAGGAGCCAAGAAAGTGAAAGGTAGAAGATATGAAACAATAATCATGATTGTGGGTTTGTAATAATGGCAAATTATACATAATACGAAAACCACAATATGAGAATGAATTTGAGAAGAGAAGAGCATGCTTCAAGACAAAGGGGGAATTGATGACCTCGTTAGATTCCTCCACAACAGCTAGGTGGAAGTTTTACAGCAAAATTCATACTTTCTCCAATTGCTTTTCTTAGTTGTTTTAATGATTAAAATTTCCTATATCATATTAGAATAGTTCAACAACTTAAGCAGTCTTGTCATTTAGGAGGAACAACTTAGGCAGTTGTCTTCAACACATATGACTTAGAAAAGGTAAAGCAAACCCAGGTTCTGAAGCAGACAAAAAAAAATTTCTTCCTTTATTTTTCTTTATAATCTATGTATTCAGACTTATAATTCCATTAATTTCAGGAGTACATGTAAATCACTCTATCTACAAATAAATGATAAAATTTCATTCAAAGCTATTGTATGTTAGATTTGCTTTTACTAAAATGGTTTTAGATGACTAATGACTTAAATAACTCAGTGGTTACCTCTTTTTGTTGGAAGTAAGAGATCTTGAATTCAAATAGCATGGCATGCAGGTGGGGTGAAATAAGGAATGAAAGATAGTTGCCTCATATTGTATAACCAAGATTAAAAAAAAAGTTTTGGATGAGTATTTAATGAGTATTTTCAATATAGTTCATATTACTCCTCAATACTTGACCAACCCCAACCAATTATATTCTACTGTTTTTTATATTACTCATCTCTTTAATCTCTTACCCCCCCCCCGCCTTTTTTTTTTAAAGAAAAAGAAAGAATAAGCCAAAATTGAAAACTCTATAGATTAAAAGGTCATATGTTTGTCTACTCCTATATTTTACTATTACAGAAATTTGCATTAGGTATTGGGTAAGCTTTTGTTGGCATTGGAACAAACAAACAAGAGAGGGATCAGCAAATAGCTTGTCTAAGACTTAATCCTCGTTTGGTATAGTGGTTTTGGGATAGCTGTTAGCGGTTTTACCTAAATCGTTAAATATAAGTGTTTGGTAAATTTATATATTTCAAAACCCTTACAACTAAAGTGTTTAGTAAAATTTTTATTTAACGGTTTGAGATTAACGAATAGCGGTTAGGGTCTAAATCGCTAGCGGATTGAAAAAATTAGTTTATGTAGCTTTTTGTACCAAACTGCTAACGGATTAAAATTTATTAATTTTATTGATAAATTTATCCATTTTAATTTTTTAGTTTGTGGTCATATTTTTTAATTAATAATTATCTAATAAATTTTAATTTTGTTTTTTACCTTTAATAATATTAAGTTATTATAATATTTTTTTTGTACATTAATTTATAATTAAAAAATATATTATCTTAAAAAACAAAATTTGTTAATTAGACAAAATGATTAATTTTTTATTTAAAAATAATATAATTTTTTTAAAATAGAAATGAGTATGTATTTACATTATTATAATTTATTTATTATTATTATTTTTATAAATTTAATAATTTTAATATAAAAAATAAAAATATTTTAAAAAATACACTTATTTGTTTTTAAACATGTCCTTATTAGTCATGTAATATTGAACAACAGCCGCTAATTATTGTATAACCAAACAGTTATATTTATCGAATCCGCTATTTACTATCCGCTACCCACTTCCGCTATCCGTCATCCGCTATCCGTTATCTACTAACCGCCATCCGCTACCGCTACCGCTATCCACTATCCGTTACCCATTGTCTACTATTTACTAAATTTTAACCGCTGTACCAAACAATCCCTTGATAGGAAAAGCCTAGAGGAATATATCTTGGAAATTCAAAGCAAAGATTCTAGAGTTAATTATTTCCTTCTAGGATTAAAATCCAAGACAAAAGATAAAGCTTCTATTGCAACAATAGAAATAGATTATGTATATGGGTAAATTACTGTTTTTTTTTCAGTTGGATCTAAGATTTAAATTTAAGAGCCAATAATTAATAAAATTAATTTTTTTTAATGTTCTATTCCAATGTACGATGCAGTTTTAAAATTTTTTAAAAATATAATTTTAAAGCCATAAAAATTGGTGTAGAAACTTTTAAATTGTTCAAATAATAATAATAATAAACTTATGTTGTAACCATCCTAATATTACTATTATTATCAATAATTTAAATAATTTAATAATAATTTTTTATTAAAAATAAAAAATATTAAATTTAAGTTACATAATATATAAATTAAATAAAATAAAAAATAAAAAAACTTACCTTTCGTGATGTAATCAATATAAAAACGAAAAAAAAAAAACTACTACTACCATCTTATCAGTTATCTCTACATGTCCAAACAAAAGAGTCAAATGATCAAGATCCTCGAACAACACGATTCACCCACTCCCATAATCCTGTCTACAAGACATTTTTTCATAAGCCTATTTGTTCAGAAGAAATTCACAACGTACTACCTTTTTTTCTATTATATGTAAAATTGTCAGATGTAACTGAGCTGTCTGAGCACATGGAGGAGAGACCTGATTGTTCCCTTGCAAAGTGAATTTTGTCCCCCGAAAAACAAAGACTGCAAATTGCATGTCAATTAGTTTACCAAAAATCCGTGTTTCCTATTTTTCCCATCATTTTCATTGATGAATAGAAAATATATGAAATAAAAAGTTAAAAACTAATAAACCCAATTTGCAAAATAAAGCCCCCATTGTTATGAATTTTGCAAAAATATAAGGAAATTCAATGACAGATTAATTCAATCGATAATCCAATGTATATGGTCACCATGACCATTATTATCAAAGATGAAGAAAGAGGAAATTAACATATTTTCATTTTTAAACTAATAAATTTAAGAGTATACAACTTTATACTGTCTTCCATAATAATAATGAGCATTTTTACGATTTGGAAGTTATTTTTCACTATATTTTAAGAAAAACGTATATTTTTTAATTTTATTTTGGACTTTATTTATCTTATTATAAAAAAAATCTCTTTTTATTTTTATTTTTTAAAAGATAATATAAATAAAAATATAAATTATTTATAAATTTTTACTTTATCTATTTTATAATAACTCTCATATTTTGATTTATTTTCTAAATTAAGGATTTAAAAATCATTTATATATTTATTTATGTTGACCTTAAAAAAGCTAAAACAAAAACTAAAATTTTTTGTGATAGAATAATTAATCAAAATAAAAGGATTTTTTTTTTGGAACAATTTTAGTATTATTTATAGGTATATATGGGGGAAGGAAAAAAATGAGTTTTATGGGGTTCGAACACGCCACTCATGGAAATGAATAGCCCTAACTCAAAACCCAATACCATTGGGCCGGAACACGCCATTCAAAATAAAAGGATATTGATTGGGTTAAAGTAAGAAAGAAATATTTGTATACCTTAAAAATGAAAAAATAATAATGAATTTTAGATAAATTCAAAGTCAATAAATGATAATTAATTTGAGATAGATGGCCTACCATAAATATAAAATAAAAAAATATTTATTATTCTCTCTGTGCCTAAGAACTATCAATTTTCTCCGAGCTAATTAAGTATTTGAGAATAATTTATATATTTATTTATGTTACTCTTAGAAAAATGTACTCACTCCATTTAATTTTAGTAGATTTAATTTTTATGTTTAATAAAATAAAGATATAATACTTTGTTGATAAAATTTCATATTTATATATCTTTAATTAAGTATCAATTAAATAAAATTTCTTATTTAATATATATTGTAATTATATTTTTAAAATAATAATAAAATAAAAATAAACATATTAAATAATATCTTAAAAAGAAAAAATAGACAATTAAATTTGAATGCCCCTAAATTAGAAACTAAGAGAGTAAAAGATAAAAGACAAACATTTTGTAATAAGATAATTAATCAAAATAAATGGATAATAATAGGATTAAAATAAAAAAGTATTTATTTTGTTACTAAAAATAAAAAATAAAATTAATTTAAGACAAATTTATAATAAAAATCTTGAAATTAATAGTGTATTTCATGACATATATAGTAGTTAAATTGTAAAATAATTCCTTTATTTTCTAATTAAATGTATATACACAGAATATCCACCATTGTTACCAAATACATAGAGAATGATGATGGTCATGACATCAACCATAATAAATAGTTTTTCTGTTTGTTTTTAATAAATTTATTTTAATTTTTTAATTTTAAAATATAAGTTTTAGGCAAAAATTGAACATAGTATATAAATAATAATTAAAAATTCTTTTATCAAATAAAAATATCCATCAAAACTACATTTGATAAAAAAATTTTAAATTATTATTTACATATTATTAAAATTTTACTTAAAATTTGTCTTAAAAATAAAAAATAAAATAAAATAAAACTCACTGCTTGAATGCCAACATAAATAAAGGGCCCTTCCCTCTTACCTCTGTCAAAACATTCCATTGCCAAAGAGCGCGTTTCTTCCTCTGGCTTCCGAGGATACTGCGCGTTTACGAGAGAGCTAGAGGCGTACAGTAGCGAGAAAATGGCCACCAAAGTGTATATCGTGTAAGAATCTCATCTGGGTTTTTCTTGAATTCAAAATAATTCTGCTCTGTTCTGGTTCTTGCTCTGTTCTTCCTGCATTCTTTTTTGTGTAGTGATTTATGGTCTTTGATTTTGTTATGACTTTCTCTGATTTGGGGAGGATCTAGGGTTTGATTTGGGTTCATGATCGTGTAAAAGTTTGTCCCTTGATTAGCATATAGCAATTTTGTAGTTGTGGCTTCGTGATTCCCTGCGTTTGCTTTGATTTTTTTTTTTTTTTTCCCTTTCATCCATTTAAGTGAATTGTTAGCTCTTTCTGTAACAGCTATATGGATTCATTTTTCAGAAATATTGATTGATTGATTCAGCAATGAAAAGATTCTATCTTTTTTAGATGATGGGTGAATAAATATGCATTTGCTTGTTGATGATGAAATTTGTGTTTCGGTTGCAAACTCTTCTTTTCTCCAGTTTTTTCCTTTTGGGGTTCACAGCAACCCCTTTTGTTTTCATGAAATCAGCATCAGAACAAGAAAGTGAACAGGAGAAGAAAGGAACTAACTTGTATTTTCCTGTGCAAAGTTGCTTTTAGCTAAAACCTGATTAAAGCTTTGGGAAGAATTACATGCTTTTGGCTTAATACTTTCTATTGCTTTCCTTTTTATTTTTAATTTGGAGTCTTAACGTTGATGAGGAGAAAACTGCATGATGAGTATCAGAAGTCAATTCTAGCAAAAGCCATATTTATTTTTGCATTTAGGTTAGCTTTACAGATGCTGCCTGAGTCAAGTTCATGTTTCTCAATGTGTTTTTTAACTCAAATTTGGTATGTGACCATGACTTATTTTTCTATCATATATGCGGTTGGTTGAATCTTCAACCCAGAATTTTGAATTTGGAAACACTGAAAAGCTAATAGGCACTATGCTCATAAAGGTTTAACAAGCAAGAAACTAATAAAAAGTGATTGTGAAGTGCGAACTACCTTTTGAAATTATAATTGAGAGAGAAATGCTAGATCCTTTTGTTGGAGCTTGTGGTCCTATCTTTCATCATTTCATACCAGTTCTTTATATGTAATGTGCGTAACCTACTAGTGGCTTTCATTTTCAATGGTTGAAGATAAGCTTCTAATATTTCTCCCACACCACCTTTTCTATATACAAAGAAAAAGTTTCTGTAAGGTAGAACAAAGCCCTTTTTTCCCACATCCATGACAATTTATAAGATGCAAATCATATGGTCCTCCAATGGTGACACTTTAGTCCCCTAAGCCATCTAGATTGATGCATTCATGCTGGTAAATAAATCTTTTAATGTACTACTTTTTACGTTAAAGGTCTTTTGATGTGTTGCACTATCAACATAAAGTTTTATTCTTCCTGCATAAAGTTTATACTTAGTTTTTGGGATTATATTACTCTTTTTAGTATTAGTTTAAAATTTGGGCTCCTTTACAGTTACTATTCTATGTATGGACATGTTGAGAAGCTGGCCCGAGAGATTCAGAAAGGAGCCTCAACTGTGGAAGGAGTAGAAGTAACGCTTTGGCAGGTGTGTTATTTATTCTTCATAAATATTATACTGTTTTACTTCTGCTGGGGCAATGAAAATTGTGAATCTTTTCCTTAGCTTAACTCTTGACTGAGAAACTGCCATAGCATTGTGGTACATTGAACAATTACTTATGCTGTTAAAAAACCCTTCAAAATTGATTTCTTTTTTTCAGCAACTATGCCTTCATTGTTAAATCAAGCTAGTTTTGGACTGCCTTTTTGCAATGGATTTGTCTCTTTCCTTCAAAATTTATCATTTCCACCCTCTTTACTTTCCTTTTTGCTTTCTCCTTTTGATTTCTCTGTAAGCTTAGCTAATTTAATTAGAACTGGCATTTGGACAGGTACCAGAAACTCTTCCTAAAGATGTTCTTGGAAAGATGGGTGCACCACCAAAGAGCGATGATGTGCCTATCATAACACCAAGTGAACTTGCCGAGGCTGATGGTGTTCTTTTTGGTTTCCCAACTCGATTTGGAATGATGGCTGCACAGTTCAAGGCATTCATGGATGCAACTGGTGGTCTGTGGAGAACACAACAGCTTGCAGGCAAACCTGCTGGAATTTTCTACAGCACTGGATCCCAAGGAGGTGGACAGGAGACTACCCCGTGAGTATTCTCAAAAATCTTCTTTTGCATACCATATAAAGAAAAGACGATTCCTTTTAAAAACTTAATGCAATATTGAAATCTTCTGGAAAGATCTTGACATAGAGCTTTTCTTTATTGGAAAATTGTGCAGGTTAACTGCAATCACTCAGCTTGTTCACCATGGGATGGTGTTTGTGCCAATTGGTTATACATTTGGTCCTGGCATGTTTGAGATGGAGAAGGTGAAGGGTGGAAGCCCCTACGGTGCAGGAACCTTTGCTGGGGATGGTTCAAGACAGCCTTCTGAGCTAGAGCTAGAGCAAGCATTCCACCAAGGGAAGTACTTTGCTGGCATTGCAAAGAGGCTCAAGGGATCTGCTTGATTTTCTTTCCTATCCAAACTATCATTCAGCTTTCTAGATTTTGCTTGTTCTGGCACGACATTTTCTACATAATAATATGTGCTTTGTGGAAGAATATGGTTTCTTCAAGACATTAGCTTATGTTCATTGACTGAAGTTTTTATTCATCTCTTCTAATTGAAAATCATTCAACACAAAAGTCCTGTTTGTGTTATGGTTGCTTCTACATGACTAAAGATTACTGTAAGAAATACACTTTAGCTTTAAAGATTCATAGGGGGCCACATTTACTTATTGCAAAGCCATACATATTATTATTTTCTTACAATGGAAGCCACCATGCAGGAATTTGTCTGTCACCCATAGTAGGGTTACATCAAACATGGGCCAGCTTATCCTTCTGGACACCAGATAATTCCTCTTTTTCTTAGAAAACTGCCCAATAATTGCACAATCTAGATTCTAGGCAAAAGAAGGAAAGCTTTAGCCGGTAAAATTTCAAATTAAGCAAGCAAATCATTTTAAAGAACAAAAGATAAATATTTCAGGTTTGGTCTAACTTTTATTACAAGAGCTGTACTGCGGCAGATGGTATGGACTTCAGAGTTCAGCCCAAGTTAACACTGATCCAAAACCCAGAATTTTGTTGGATCATGGAATGATATGCTGCTTATTAAGCCCAATTTTGGGATTGAAATAGTATCAGGCTCACCGCTTATGAATATTGTTTTCACTACCATGGATTT